TGGCTGTAGAAGAGTGGAAAGAAGAAAAAAAATATCCCCTATGAATTTCTAACCACTTCTGTGTGGTTAGAAATTATACATGTAATAAGAAAAAAACCCATATTACACATGTAATAAAAAAATTACTCTCTGGAGAATACAATTTAAATCCAGATATGTACACATCAGATACTTACACATATGTATAAATCCATAAGTATTCAAAGATCATGAGCCCTTCATGGAAATCATGTAACAGACACAAATTGGGCCACTAGGAATGAGAATTACCATGAAAGATGAACCACAAGCTACAGAAACAGACCTGCGAATTTGCTAGGCTTATCAGGGACAGAATACAATTTAAATGTACTTAATCTGTTCAAGGAAAAAAAAAGAGCAAATTGAAAGTTACAAATGAAGAAAACAATAAAATTAAGAAGGCAGACTTTTAAAAAGTCAAATATAACTTTTAGAATTGAAAACATGATAGTTGAAACTTAAAACTCTATGAATATGTTAAACAGCCTATTAGACACGGGCGAAGAGAAAATAAGTAAACTGGAGGGTAGATCTACAGAAATTACCCAGAAGTCAGCATCAGCTGAAGGGGGTGAGGAGGAAGGAGTGTGTAACAAAGAAATATAATTTAAGAAATGTAGAAATGGAGGAGGTCCAACAGATATGGACAGAGCGTTTACCACATTCTGGACCCCATGTATTGCTTTAAGAATGGAGCAACAATCAAAACCATTATAGCTCTTCCCCTTTCAAATATATAATCCAGATGGAGAAACCTACAATAAACAGATACTTACACATAACTCATTAGAAATGCAATAAGTGTGTGAGCAAGAAGCTTGGGGGGGGCGGGGCTTCGAAACCATTTAACAGGGGTGCCTTCCTGAGCCTGGAAACTCAGGGAAAGCCTCCCTGAGGAAGTGAAATTCAGGTTTAAAACTCAAATGTAAGAAGGGGTAGAAAGAGTTGCTTGTCTGTGACTGTCCCGCACTGAACCTCCTTCGGTGTTTAGGAGGAATAAACGCGCTGGGAACGTGCTCTTGTGTGAGCCTTGGTTGGGGCCAGGACCAGGCCTCCTTCCGTGAAATCTCTCCAGAGAACGTAAGACAGCGATGGCGAACCTTTTGAGCTCGGTGTGTCAGCATTTTGAAAAACCCTAACTTAACTCTGGCGCCGTGTCACATGTAGAAATTTTTTGATCTTTGCAACCATAGTAAAACAAAGGCTTATATTTTTGATATTTATTTTATATATTTAAATGCCATTTAACAAAAGAAAAATCAACCAAAAAAATGAATTCGCGTGTCACCTCTGACATGCGTGTCATAGGTTCGCCATCACTGATAAGACCTGAACTCCACCAGTCACGGTCCCAGGCAGGACCAAAGTGTGGGGCAAGTGACACAAAGAAACAGGAACATTCATGTTGGCAAAGACAAAGATAAAGACTCTACCAACTGATGACACACGTTGGGACTGGTGGTGCCAGCAGGAGGGGGCAGCACAGACTGACCAGATGGCTCTGTGCTGTAGCTTGGCTGAAATTCCTCTCAATCCTTCCTGGCTCCAAGAGCTGGTTCCTCAGCTTGTTCTAAGAGTCTATGAACTAAGGGTCCCATTTCTTGCCATATTACACTCTTTTTCTTTCTTTCTTTCTTTTTTTTTGTCCCAAGTTAACCAGGGCTGACGCTTGCGGCTGCAGTGAACAAGCCTGGATGGTATAAGGGGACTGGAGATTAAGGAGGCTGTGTGCAGGGAGTGGGGACGGGGGAAGCACCCCAGGTTGTGGGGCACCTTTCTCAGATCCCTGAGATGAAGGCAGACACACCTGTCAAAATTACCTTTGGAAAGGGGTGTCACAAACTCTCCCTCCATGTTTTCCTTTATTTTGAACCATCTTTCCCCTTCCAAGGAAGTGTTGTTCCGATGGGGTTTGGAGGATAAAATAAACACACGTGTTACATTTCAGAGACAATTTTTCATATTCCTGCACAACTTTTTTTTAAAACATTCTATTCTTTGATGACTCCTCTTTGCTTTCATAAGCTAAATTACGCTAGTTAGTAGAATGAATAATAAGTTTCTATGCTGGGTAAACAGAAATGCATTTAATGAATCATCTGGCTAGCTTTTTGAGTGCAATGTAGGCGATACCAATAATAATTATGATGTTTTACATCTAAGGAACCAATGGCACAGTAATTTTTTAAAAGATTTTTAGAGAGAGAGGTAGGGAGAGGGGGAGAGAAACATTGATGTGAGATCAGAACATCAGTTGGCTGCCTCCTACATGCCCGCAACCATCTAAAAATATACAACCAACAGGCAATTGGAATGGACCCTGGGGAAGAGACAGGAGGGCCAAAAAACTGGAGTAAAAGAAGCTTTTTCTCTCTTTGGTAATAATTTTAAATGAACATGTACTACTCGGTCAACATACAATATATATGGGATGGAATGCAGAAATAATCTGATGGAGCATAATCATTTTCATAGAATCGGGCATGAGCACAGAAAGAGCAAATAATTGTCACAAGTCCAAACAATAAATCTGTGGAAATGTTGATAGCAGGAGGCAGAGGACCTAGCAGGGATGGAAAGAAAAGTAACTGAGCCCTTATCATTTCACTGTCTTAGTAATTCTAAAAAAAAAAAAAAAAGTTAAAGGTAAAGGCGTTGATGTTCAGAGACATCGAGTAACTTGGTTACGGTCACACGGGTGCAGAGTAAAAGCTGAGAGTTCAAATCTGATTCTACCCTCCAGTTCCCACGTCCCTGCTCTTTCTGCGTCTGTCTGGTCTCATTTCCCCGCCACGGTCGCCCGCATCCAGCGCTGCCCCCCGATTCTGTGCCACCTAAAGCCCCGTTCTCTCGCTTCACTCTCATTCTTTTGAATTCGTGTTTGCTGACCGGTGCCATCCCAAAGGCAAAACGCTCTATCCACCCAAACGTCATTTTTCCAGACACGAGAGCAGCTTCCCAAAGAAAACCTGGTAAGTCAAAAGTGTGTTCACAGCATCTCACATATCGTTGCTTCACAAAAATATTCACTTACATTTTTCTTTTAAACCAAGAGGCACCACTGCCTGCCTTTAAGTGCCACTGGGCGGTGGATCTCCACACCTGAGCTGTGCAACTCCCCATCCTCTCCTGGAAAAAGTACCAGTCAGGGCCCCAGCAGGCAACAGAGGGCTCCCCGAAGCAGAGTAATGGAAACATATAAGGAAGAAACTGTGTGCAGGGGTGGGTGGGGGTGGGAGTGGGGGGGTGCCCAAGGTTGGTTGAGAGAAAAGACACAGGGCTCCTGAGGCTCCCAAGGCAGACACACCCCCACCCACCAGCATGAAGACACAGAGGACGGAGCAGGTGCTGTGACCAGGAAGGACATGGGCGCTGGGTGACTGACATTGCAGCCCCGCTGGGAGGAAGTCAGGGAAGTGAACTCACAGCAGCACACTCCTACCCGCTGATTCCCCCCCGCTGGACGCTGCCATTGGCCTATCCCAACCGGAAACCAGAGGGTAGGAGATAAAAAGATAAAGGCGGTGATGCAAGATCCATTAGGGAATGGCTGCCAGGACTTGGATAAGGTCCTGGAAAGCAGACCTGGGGAAGTACACAGAGAATACCCGCCCACCCCCTGTCTTCCCCCCAACCTCACACTGTACGGTAACAGTCAGCGGTAACAGTCATTTCTACTTCTGACCGCCTGCTGGGTGGTGCTAATCTGAGTACTGGCTGGTGATACAAGGCTCTCTGTTTCTGAAATCACCTCCAGATCCTCATCTGAGCTGGGAGCCGCAGACTTCTTCCCCCCGACTTTACAAGCACAGTTTGAAATGGAGCAAAGAAACGATTGTGTGTGGAAGTCATTCCCAAATCCTGTCCTTCATCACCTTGGCATGTATAACGTCTTCCTCCCAGCACTGCCCAACCCCTTAAAGTCCAAGAGCCCGAAACTGCACACGACAGTCTCAGGCGGTGCCACGCATGACACTTCGTGGGTCCTAGCACACTTCCCCCGCACACTCTGCAGAATTCTTCCAGAACTTGTCTGGTCATTTAGCCAAGACCAAATCCACCAAATCCTAAACCTCCTACTTTCTTGCAAAAATGTGATCTTTAAAATTAGCCCTTGACTAATTTCCGTAGACGGGACTAGATTTTAGCGTCGTAGAGGAGCTCACATTTGAAATGACAGCGTCCAGGGTGACGGGAGAAAGAAAAGGAGCCATAACAAGCAATGTGAGAAAGCAAGAGCCTGGATTCTCCTCCCAGTTCTGCTGCTGAGTAACTGAGCGACCTCAGGGAAGGTGCCCAGGCCTGTATCCTCAGAAACATGAGAGAACGGAATTAAAAGATTCTTAATGTCCACAAAATGTATCCTATAATCTTGAGAATATTTAAAAATTAAAGGACATTTAAAAAGAGAAGGATAGCCTGGCTGGTGTGGATTAGTGGTTGAGTATTGACCTATGAATCAGGAGATCACGGCTTGATTCCCGGTCAGGGCACATGCCCTGGTTGTGGGCTCAATCCCCAGTGTGGGGCATGCAGGAGGCAGCTAATCAATGATTCTCTTTCATCATTGATGTTTCTTTCTCTCTCTCCCTCTCCCTTCCTCTCTGACAT